AAATGCAGAAAGAAATTCTTATTTATAGTAAGAATAGACCCTCACATTAAATGAATCATACTAAGAGCTGGACTGTGAAAGGAACACAACTATTAAAAAGAACTATTTTAATTACTATGCTAAGAAATACATTTCTAATAAAGATAAACAATTCTTTTTCATTGCAATACATTTTCTCTTGTGCAGTTCTCTTTGTATTGAAGAATATTAATTTACGTATATAAGTACACATTTCTGAGGTACAACTTCTGATGTGCTTTCTTTTGAGCAGTTCCTTAAATGTCTAAATAATCAATCTCTTTGATCACAGTCATGGAAGATGTTCCCTTATTGTATATCATTTCCCCCCTGTAGTCACATATTGCTATAAATGAAATATGAAGTAAGAAAATGAAAGAAAAATTTTGTTTGTTTTTGGCAGTCTTTATCTTTATTCTAGGTCCCTAAATTAGATGCACTGCGTAGCCCTACCTCAGAATACTGATTTTCTTCTGCCAAATAAAGAAGGACAGACATTATTCTTGTGGCTGCTCTGTCATTCATCCAATTAAAAGATTGGTTCTTGACAATCTATCATTTGGACAAAATATTCATTGGCACAGTTTGCATTTTCAGAGTTCATTCATCCACAACAAGGATAACAAAGGGGAAGTCTCCATGAACAGGATTGCTTGAATACAAGGGAAGAATGGATGAAAAACAAAAATCTAAAATTGTACTTAGATGTGAGATGGGGATTTTTTTTATCGTTTACTAAATTTTTTGTCAATCACATGGAAATACTGCATTTTAAAATGTGTTAGAACACATTTATAGCTCTCAAACTTGAAACTGAAATTGCCACATTTAGGTGTTGACTTATATAGCTCATAAATCACGAACCACTGTTTGGACAGTATTCATCTGCAGAGCTGGTATAGGAAAGTGGCCTGTTCGATGCTTTTCTAAACCTGACTGCTGCAGACTGAACAACTTCTGACCAGATAGATCCAGAAATGGGGCTGGAGGCAACATTTTAGTTGTTGATTCAGAAAACAATTTTTGGCAAAAAATAGTAGAAAGTTTAAAAAATTAAACCAGGAGTTCAAACCTTCAGCAAAGTACGAATTAAACAATAACTTATATTCATATTGTCTGAAACCATTAATTAAATAATACGTGTCTATGCAATGTGTTGAAATCTATAAAATGTGCTCAACACTATAAAATTAATTAGAGGATATAAAAAATAACACTTCTAAATTAAGTCCTCATTTGGAGAAAATTAATTTGCCTCTACTTGATTTGTGGATCTACATATCCTACAAAATGAAGGTCAAGCACTTCTGCATAGCTTATCAGTCAGGATTCTTGGTTGAAAGCAAAAGTACCACTTTGGCTTAAGGAAGTACCCCTTCATACAGAAGGTGATTTATTAAAGGATCTTGGGTAATTTATGGAATTCTGGCAAGTCATGAGTACCAGATTGAGGCCAGGTTGTCAAGAACAGGGCCCAGAATTATGCCATGGTTGCTACCTGGTGTAATGTCAGGTACCACCATTGCTAAGCATACACAAGACTGCAGTCATCATGCACTGACCCTGAAATACTGCCCCTGCTGCCACAAGAAAGCAGATGCAGGGCCTCCCTGGTGGCGCAGAGGGTTAAGCGCAGTGCTGTGAAGCTGTTCACAGCCTCTGCAGCACGAGTTGAATCCCTGGCCAGCCAGGGAGCAAGCCACATGGCGCAGAAAACCTCTCCTGGCTCGCCCGCTGCTCCCTTCAGCAGTGTACTTCAGTCAGTCTGCCTGTTCTGTTCCCCACTCTGTCTCTGGTGAGTCCTCTCACCTCCCGCACCTCTGGCCTGTACCCTAATTCTTGTATGAATAAATAAATCTTAAAAAAAAAAAAGAGAGAGTAGATGTAGCTGCCTTAGCAGTCACCACGCTTGCAGGAAAAGCCACGGACTGTTTATGCTTCTTTATTGTCACTAGCTTCCTGAATCAGGTGGGGCTGATAGGGAGGTTCCAGCTCAGAAATCTTCACCTTAGCTATAGGGAAGATTGTAAACATTACTATGTTTTATTTATTTTTGTTTCTTTGACTGACATAAGGTGGGAGATTCCTCAAACATAAGAATAAAATATAGATGATAAGAATCCAGAAAACAGTTAATGTGTATATGGTATTCAGGGTCTTCAACTGCAAGCTTCATAGCGTCCTTTGTTGCCCCTATATACCCTGCATTCTGATCATAGACTCTCCCTCACCTTCTAGCACCCCAGAAAAGTTAGAAACTTTTCTAACATCAAAGTATTTCTCATATTGCTCCCCAAGAAGGGAACTCCCTGGGGAGTCACATTGTTCCCTGGATCTGAATTTTTTTCCTCTTCCCTTAATGTGGACTGACCTCAATAGCTACATCTTCTACAAAGTCTTCTTCTTCTTTTTTTTTTTTTTAAAGATTTATTTATTTATTTATACAAGCACTGGGTACAGTCAGAAGTGCGGGAGGGTGAGAGAATTCACCAGAGCCAGAGCGGAGAGCAGAACAGGCAGACTGATGAAGTACACTGCTGAGGGGAGCAGCGGGCAGCAGGAGAGGTCTGCGCGCCAAGTGGGACCCTTGCCAGCAGCCAGGGATCGAACCAGTGCTGCAGAGGCTGCCGGCAGCTTTGCAACCCAGCACTCAACCACTGCGCCACTGGGGAGGCCCAGTCTTCTTTTTTTTTAAACCCTAGGAAGAAACATGATTTTCATTTGGAGTTCTCTTATTCTGATTTTTATTCTTTTTTTATTTCTCTCTTGCCCCTTAAACGTAAGCTCTTTAAGATGAGATACCATGCTTTAGTAATTTTGTGGAGCTTCAAGTCACAGTGATCACTAGACTGTACTCATTGGTCCAATCTCTTGTAAAAAGAATTTTTAATAGGACTTTTTAAGACTCCAATTTTATAATACTTGAATGGGAATTTATATTTTTTAATTATTTCCTCTAAGCACTGTTTTGCACATAGCTTCAGATATTATCTCCACTCATAATTTGAAAAAGAAAAGTCAAACCCATGTTACATACCTTGAATTTTTCTCTCCAAACAGTAATGTACAATGCTAAGTCACATTTCATTGGATTAAAAACCAAGCCTCCTTACTGCTAGTTGAAATGTGGCAGGTTATCATATAGAAAAATTTTCAAATAAAAAATAAAGACAGGGCCTTCCATGGTGGCACAGTGGTTGAGCACTGGGCTGTGAAGCTGCCCGCAGCCTCTGCAGCACCGGTTCGATCCCTGGCCGCCAGCGAGGGTCTCACATGGCACTCAGACCTCTCCTGCTGCCCGCTGCTCCCCTCTGCAGTGTATTTCGTCAGTCTGCCTGTTCTGTTCCCTGCTCTGGCTCTGGTGAATTTTCTCACCTCTCTCACCCTCCCGTGGTTCTGACTGCTAAATGGAGACTTGAAATACATTCTTATCTATATGTATGGTACTTTACAGCCTGTAGATATTAAGACCAAGCATATCTTAAATTCTGACTTTTATTTCATATGAGTGTGGCAGATATTATTCCCATTTCACAAGGTGTCATTTTCTGTTATCTGAGTTATAGAACTATTAAAGAAACTATGATCATGATATCTTAGATTCTAAGTAGTTACATTAATCAAATTATAAATTCAACAAAATACTTCTTTAAAGATCACACTAAATAGAAATGCTTTATCTTCTTATTTTAGGTTTCCTTAGACCTTGAGGGGAATATATTCTCATGGTCTTACATGCATTAGGTCCAAATCTATTTTCTAGGTCTAAAGGAATGTGGGGGTGGTATCTTGCTAGGCTTTTTTTTTTTTTAAAGCAAACTGAATCCTTTATTTACTATAAATGTGAGATGAATTTCTGATCACTGAATTACTTAAGATGTATTGAGTCTTTGACTCTTTATAACTGAACTCATTCCTAGCACTTGAAATGATAACTTTTATATAGATCAGAAATGACCCCATTTTTTGGATAATGTTAAGCAAGTTGTGCCTTGTTGCACAGAGCTGGGGAATGCACATGCATGAAAGTAAAAGTAAAGTTGTTTTCTATAAATATATTTCCATTATTCAGTGTTACCTCTCTTTTCTAGTGATAACTCTTCAGGGATTCTTATCAAACTTAGAGATTCCACTTGGAAAGTCACAGACATAGCGTGATCATTTCCCCTGCACTTCAGCTCTAAGTCTACAACATCTCTTCCTGTATGCTTCGAAAGAAGCCAGCTTAATTAATCTGAGGGAGGAGACTAAAGTTCTAACCCAGAAGTCTCCTTTCTTGGGCTAAGATAAGTGAATCTGAATACCCATGCATGGCAGTTTGCTGGAAGGTGGAGGAAAGAGACTAGTCATTCTAGATTGGTAATGTAATATAGCAAGAAACAGCTCCATTTTAATTGGCTTAAACAACATTAGAAGCTATATGTGAAGATGATGTTATACATTGTATATGGTAAAGAACCTCAGTGAATTGGATTTAGTATTTTGAACTGCTGGCTAGAGCATATACTGTATATGTTTGATCTATTTTTTTAGATCAATATACTTTTAAATGTTACATGAAAAAAAATATTGTACTTAGGGATGAAAATTCTAAGTTATATAGCTTTTATCCTGTATTTTAAATTACAAAAGTAATGCATGTTTCTTCTAAAGAACATAATGTTCCTTCTAAAGAAATATGCAAGCTGATAAGGGTAACAAAGTAAAATAAAAGTCTTCTTTTTCTGTACCCTTCAGAAGTACAATAGCTTTTTGGTTAAAAACCAAATGATACAGCAAGGTTTATTTTGTCATTTTCTTAGCAAATGCTGATGTTAAATGATAATTTTAGTACACTAATATTCCAAGGTGGGAGATCTGTTATTTTCTTTTTACTTCTTTGAATTTGATTACTGTAATTAACTGAATTGGAAATTAAAATAAAATGAGCCCACAGGTTGGACCAGTTGCGCTTCAGTAAAAACAGATGTCTATTTAAATACCTGATTACTCCAATATCCACAGTCCATGAAGCCTTCTGTGAGCCACTGCCTTGGGTTTTGTCGGCGAAGATGGGCACTGGGAGACTCTGGGGAACAGGCAGAATGTGAAACATGGCACATGTGACTGCTGGGAGAAAACAAAAAACAAAAATCGCTTGTCTGTTCTTTTCAAATTGGTCTGGGCAATGCAAGAAAAACCACAAGATAAATATGGCACAGCTTCCTGAAGTATCAGCTTTGCTTCAAGTTTTCAGGGCAAAATGTTATAATGAAATAAATAAGACCATGTTAAGGAATAAATTTAAATGCCCGATTGATGGGAATTTCCATGTTTCAACACAAAACACAAAGGAAATTATTTTTAAGGATTAAGTTTATATCATTAATCTGTGAGGCTATGTATTTCATCTCTTTTGCCATTAAAAAGTACTTCTGCTTGGGAAAATTTGAGAAACTCTGCTATTTGTTAAGGATATAAGAAAGAAGTGAGGTAAGAGATTCAAATTTTTCATTTTGGATAGTGGGAGAGACAAGATGGTTATTTTTTTTTTTTTAATCTTCCTTGGTATTTAATGTAATACCTTGCAGATGGCAGGGCATATAAAAATGCTTGCGGGTTTTTTGATTTAGTTTCTTTTCTTTTTAAGGAAAATTATGCTGGTATTAAACACCAGCTCCCAAGCTTTGCCAGTAAGTTTTCTTTAAAATTCTTTCAATTGGCTAGTACTGTGTGTGTGTGTGTGTGTGTGTGTGTGTGTGTGTGTGTGTGTGTGTATCTGTGTAGATGTGAGAGGGCCTGACTCTCTCAGAGAAAAAAAGATGACTTTGAGAGAAGTGAAACTATAAAAATATTATTCTAGCCACAAAAGTTATTTTTAACAGTCTTCCCACACTTAGCAGTAACTGGAATAGCATCAGAGAAGGACAGCCTGACTCAGTGAAATACAATGGGTATACTGGGCTGAGTGTTTCACCTTTATGAATATCCCTTTTTTGTTCACCAGGTATTTCTTTTGTCTTTAAGTGTGTGGGATGATATTAAATAGCATGGTTGAAGTGATTTTTTGTTTTATTTCAGAAAATATAGACAGTTCTAGAAATTTTCATTACTTAAATTAAAGCTGCTTCTAAAGGATAATTTTGAGGATAGGGCATTTCTGAAAGTAAGCATATTTCCAGAAAGGATTTCTCCAGATACATTAGAGTACCATGGAAAATCTTGAGAATAATTTTTAAAAAATATCTCCATTCAAAAATTGTTAAACTGGGCCTCCCCTCGTGGTGCAGGCAGTTGAGCACAGTGCTGTGAAGCTGTCTGCAGCCTCTGCAGTGCCGGTTCAATCCCGGCCGGCCAGCGAGGGTCCCACATGGCGTGGCAGACCCTCCTGGCTCACCCGCTGCTCCCCTCACCAGTGTATTTCAGTCAGTCTGCCTGTTCTGTTCCCTGCTCTGTCTCTGGTGAATCCTCTCACCCTCCTGCGAATCTGGCCTGTACCCTGGTTCTTGTGTAAATAAATAAATAAAAATCTTTAAAAAAAAATTGTTAGGGCCTCCCCGGTGGCGCAGCGGTTGAGCGCTGGGTTGCGAAGCTGCCCGCGGCCTCTGCGGCGCCGGTTCAATCCCCGGCTGCTCCCCGGCCACCGGAGGAGGATCCCACATGGTGCGCAGACCTCTTCTGCCACCCGCTGCTCCCCTCAGCAGTGTACTTCAGCCCTTCTGCCTGCTCTGCTCCCCGCTCTGGCTCTGGTGAATTCTCTCACCCTCCCGCGCTTCTGACTGTACCCAGTGCATGTATAAACAAAAAACAAAACAAATATAATAAATAAATAAATAAAAACATGCCTCTATTAAAAAAAAAAATTGTTAAACGAGTGCACACACAGACATAGTATTCTAAGAATATTCTTAAAATCTCATCATGGGCCTCCCTGGTGGCATAAGGGGTTAAGCACCGCACTATGAAGCAATCTGCAGCCTCTGCAACACGTTTGATCTCTGGCCCACCAGTGAGCAACCCACATAGCATGGCAGACCTCTCCTTTCTCACCTGCTGCTCCCCTCAGCAGTGTATTTCAGTAGATCTGCCTGTTCTGTTCCCCACTCTGTCTCTGGTGAATCCTCTCACCCCTCATATCTCTGGCCTGTACCCCAGCTCTTGTATGCATAAATAAATAAATCTTTAAAAAAATAAATAAAACCTCATCAATTTTATCAAATTTATTAATTTTGTATAATTTTGTTATCATCAGCAGATGATAACAGCTAAACCATCACCCTTCCTTCTGGTGATTTGTCTGTAAAACATACAGCTCTGGTAGGGCTAGGAGGAGACCCAGCCCTACCAGATGAGCACTCACCCAATGTCTTTTCATGTAAACCCTAAAGAAATTCTGGGGAGCCATATACTTAGAACACCATCAGTCTAAACCACTAGCCATCTATACAATACTTGAGTTTGTAATTTGCATTTTCTTAAAATATGTGCTATCCAAAGATAAATTAAAAGGCAGCTGTTGGCAGGCATATAAAGTTTTTGATTATCTGTTTTGATTAACAAAGTGATTATTGTCTATAAATTACCATTTGTTCTTAAATGTTTTTAATCTTTACATTACTAAGAGACATTTTTAATGACTGGGGACTCTCCAAAAGAAATTATATACTCTGCCTAAGATGAGGGACATCATCTATGAAGACAAACAATAGCATAATAAACTTCAAGGTAAATTTCACAATTGGTCTAGGCTATAGAACCTATAAACATTCAGGGAGGACACAAAAGACAAAGAAATAAAGCAGCAGAGAAGGATTTAAGGAAGAGTTTTTTTCTTGACTGATGTTGGATGAAGGGTGGAGTCTAAAATACCTGTATTGAGTGAAAGTGGAAAGAATGTATGCAGCTCTTGGAGCAATCAACAAGCTCCTATCCTGCTGACCTGTAGTTTGCTGATAGGAGAGGTGAGCAGTATCTAGTAGAAAAAGCAATTATAAACAGATAAAACAAAACATGATCATTGTACCATGAATACTTCTGGAAGATGTTTAAGATCTGTTAAGATCTTCTAAGACTAGTGTGGTTTTTTTTAAAAAATATTTATTTATTCAAATCAACAAGCAACTATAAACCAGAGACACACTACTGTTGGGGGGATAGGGAGTAGGATCAAAACAAGGAGGGTGGAAATTGTATGGGGGTTATAACCAAGATGAAAATGCATACATTGTGCAAAAATGAAAAATGATGTAAAAATATATAAAATAAAATAAAAATGCTCAAAAATAAAAATAAAAAATTTATTTATTAATGCATACAAGAACTGGGGTAAAGGCCAGATGCGTGGGAGGGTGAGAGGATTCACCAGAGACAGGCGGGGAACAGAACAGGCAGATTGACTGAAATACACTGCTGAGAGGAGTAGGGGGCAAGACAGGAGAGGTCTGCCTCACCATGAGGGTATCTCCGAGGTGGGCCGGGATCAAACCAGCACTACAGAGGCTGCGGACAGCTCCACAGCACTGCACTCAACCACCTGCGCCACAAGGGAGGCCCCTAGTGTGTTTTTATTGATATATAATTGAAGTACATATTCAAATATCTATATAAGTAGTACTATTTTTAAAAAGAATTGTATCAATTTTGCTTTACAATACTTGAAAAAAGCTTGGAACTTAAACTGCTACTTATGTCATAGTCTACTAATAGCTACTTTTCTGTTTTGTAAGTTCCAGTCCTTCTATCATTTATATATTTTTGATTGTTTTTCCCTTTCCTAAAATCTATTCTAATTGCCCTCCTTTTGTAATTTGCCTCTCTGATATTCCACATGTCCCCCCTTATATTTAAAAAAATCTCTCTTCAAATATATTTGATGAGACACATTCTCTAACAAATGCCTGTAATGAAAATGCTCTTTGTTCTTTAAATTCTGCAATTTCTTCTTTATGGGATTTACATAGTTTGTTTCTTACAAGAGTGTTTTATTTCTGCATTAGTTCTGATTGTGAGATATCATTTGCATTCTTTGGGAAAGCACTTGGCATGCTGAGTAGTTGCCTTGGAAACACCAATACAGGTAGGATAAGCACTGAGAAAGAAAGGGAGGAAAAGTAACTTGTAATGTTGACAAAATGCCAGGCACTGGACTGGGTTTTGAAATATATGATTTCATTTAACCATCAAGCCCTGCAAGGTGAATATTATTATCACTGCCAAGCTTTTTTGCTTTAAATAACTTCAACATAGAAAAGCAGAATTGAACCTGATTCCTCAAACATCCAATTCTCTGTGATTTTCAGTTAAAAGGAAATGATAGCACAGTTGTGTATTTTGGAGAATTGTACTGAGAAGCATTTTTGTACAGGTTATATTGATGCCAAGTACTTCTTTATGACACTATCTTGATATTTTTGGCCAAATACACTCAGATATACCAACCATTACATTACTGTTACTATGTATATCATATTAAAATTATGATGTCTATTATATAACTAGTTCCTAGGAAAAACTGTATTACAGAACACTGGATACTAAAGTGATTTTCATAAGTATTATAAAAGTTATACTTTAGAAAATTTGGACTTTTTGGATATTTAAAATGTCTATAAGGGTTTCATTTTCCAATAAATAGCCTTTTATAATTTTTATAACTGAAAATTAATTATCATTGTCACCTTAAATGTCAGCCAGTTAACCCCTAATCAATATGTTCTAGATTTTGTTGAACTTTCCATATTTTAATAGTATTTTTTCTTATATTCTGACAGTTTTCTGATTTAGATTTTTAAAATGCCTCAAAGTATTCCTTTGAGTTTTTAATAAATGAACAAATAAGAGTGACTAAAAATTGTATACTGTCCTTATTTATTTGAATAAATTTTATTTATTTATTTTTTCATGATGATATTTAGGTTTTATTAGGCAATAACTTTATCATTTTCCCAATGTATAGGAAAGTTTTCTTCAGGGTATAATAGTAGTAATACTATTATAATACCTTATACCACTATATAATAGTGCTAATACTTATAAAATGATAGAAAACATACACTGATAAATAATAATAGCAAAATAATAAGAAACAACATTCTGTATGGGGGTGGGAATGTTTTTCAAATTGAGCTAAC